TTGGTGTGGATGTCGAAGAAGAAAAGAAAATAAACCAAAGCCAACACTCACTCACATCCACACTCTTTCGTCAACAAAGACATTGATAGAAGAAAAAAGTTACTGAGGATAATAAAAAAAAGTTTTTTACTGAGCCTCACCTGATTTGGAAACGTTCCGCCGCCCCTGAATTTATGTGTATGAAATATGTAGAATTTTCGATCTATTTTCAGTTGAACACAAGCTGGCAGGTAGATCTTTAACATTTTATGACATATTTCAATTGCAGTTAAAACAACTTGAGTTTTATCTATTCATTATTCATTATTGTATTATTTTGGTTATGATTTATTATGATTATGATGTATTCAATTATTATGATATATTTAATTACTATGTTATATTTAATTATTATGATATATATTTTATATTTATCTTACAATGCTTTTTAGGCTCTTATGATTGGAGTTAAGATCCTAAAGTACTGATGATGATCTACCTGCCAGCTTGTGTTCAACTGAAAATAGATCGAAAATTCTACATATTTCATACACATAAATTAGTACATATTATCTTTTGTCATGTTTTTTGAAATAAAATATTTCATACATATCGTCTCTTACTGCATTAATTAACTTTCATTTGACGTGAAGTTCATCCAAATCAATCATTTGTACAGGATATGTATAATGCCACCTCTTTGGTTCCTGAACTTTTAAAGCTTCTTTTAAACCGTACTCCTTTATAATTCCATTAGGTGAGCGTCTCAAGAATCCTGGTAATATAGTCATATTGAATCCTAAGCTGAGGATAAGACAGGACAATGCGACATCGGACAGTGCAGCCGACTTATGGTTAGGTTAGGGCCAAATCGATTCAACGTAAACGGATAAATGAGGATACAGAGCTTCAACAAGTGCTGCACTAAGTACATGTGCGGTGTTGCCACCAATAAGTAGACTCTTGTAAGCAGTACCATTCTTATGATAGCACATTTGCTCACCAACAGAACCTCCAATAAAATATGGTTGTGTAAAATTATATGATTCAGGTTCTTTAAAAAGATGTGGTACACTGACGAAAGTGTCACAGCCGACTAAAACATACCATTTGTGACGTTTAGATGGATCTATAGCTTGCTGTTGTCTGTAGATTAATTCAAGACCATGAAAGATCTTTTTAGTATTCGATTGGTAATGTTCGCCAGTATTTTCTATAACAGTGATAGGTAAACTCGGGTAAGGCGTCGAGGCGAGAAAATAGTAAATAGTCACGCGAGATACCCATGTCTCTCGTACGCTCGTAGCACGTGTTGCCAATAGCGAAGCGCCTGTATAAATGATAAATGCTATGTCGTTTTCCTGGTATCGTTTTGCTTTCTGCCAACCACTAGTTGGATTTGGAATTTTCGAACAATACATTTTAAGATTTTTGGCTGGATGTGATCGATTTTTTATCCAAGGAAATTCCAAAGTGTGCGAGTTGTAATCGCACACAAAACTTCTATGGACAGATTTTGTGGGGAAAATACTAGCTGATGAGTTAAACAACTGAAGTGCATAATGGATGTTGTTATAGATATATGGGATCGAATGAAGAAAAAAAAGTATTACCCAACAGATATAAAGACCAAGTATCAACCAAATACGAGATCTAGTCATCTGCAAAAAAGAGCGAATTAGAATACGTAGCAAGGGAGAAACAACGAACTTTTGAACTTGAAGCTACTTTTAGCTACTTGAAGGCTACTTTAAAGTACTCAAGAGAGCATCCATTCTCATCTTGTTCAGCATCATCTAAAACCTCTAAATCCAAATTTTTAGCGCATTTCATTGAGTGGGTGAAAAGTTAACTCAATTTTACTGTCGAGCGCTCACGATGATATTTGAAAAATATCATCAAAAATTGTTCCTATAAAGTGAAGATTTTTTCCATGACATTAAGTTAATGAAATATTTCGTGTAATATACCAAAAGATAGAGCATTGCAAGCTGAACAAAATTATCTATTTGTAAATTATATTTCAATGTGCTGATCGAAAGTTATTTCTCAAATACTGTCTAAGATTGACAATTTTTGGAGTAAAAAAATGTGTCAGCTATCTTCAGTATATCATCTGCTATTTAGTCAATTCGGAAGATCCCATGCTGAATTTCACATATGTTGTACAACTTTTTCTCCTCTACAAAATGATTAAAACAAAGTTTAAAAAAAATTATGTGTCGGGGCGAAAAATGGCTCACAATGTCGACGAACTGGACAACATTTTTTCTGAGTATTTTTTCTAATAAAAAATAGAAGTTTGAGTTAATTATGAACTATCTAGAGTATTCTTCACATTGGTACGACATATTTCAATGAATGTATGTTCTCTTTAAAATAAAAAATCATCAGTGATTATATTTTATGAAGGTAAGATCGATTAGCTAATCTTGGATTGTCACAATGGCATGCAAAGAGAGATTGAAACACCTCACAAGTTCTTCAATGCTCATGCGACCTTCGCTGGTAGTTCTAGTATTATTTTTAAATAGTTGAATACTTACATAATATAGAAGGCAGGATTGTTGGCCACGATCATGGAAAACCTTTTCCGTGTTTCTCCTCTTCGGCGCATAGAGCCCATCCTGCGTGAAGAGGAGGGACATTACTCGGAAAACCCGTGTCCCCATCTTGTTTATAAGTGTTACTCGGAATACCCACACTCATGCACAATATATTATTCTTTATAAATGAAAGAAAAGAAATACATCGAGCGCACATGTCTATAGGGTGTGGTTGTGGGTATGGGCATGAGAATAAGACCCACACCCATACTCTCAAATGGAATCAAATTCATAGGAAATAAAAATATTCTCAAAGCATGAAAGAATTAAGAACTTGACAAGAAGAAAGTAAAAAAGATTATCTTACACGAAAATATCAGGCTATCACGAAGTCATCATGATCATCCTTACCCAAAAATGCCAAACTGAAAACATTTGGTCTGTCCTTTGCGTTTCGCTGTGCTGTATGGTAAAAAGTATTTCCGGTTGACTTTAAGACAGTGTTGAAAGACACGAAAATTTTTACTTTTATCCTCACCGACATAAAAATTTCACTATTAATATACTGATAGTCCGCCGCTCATCTCCTAATTAATTAAAGATGATGTATAGTCTTAGCAAAAAAAAACAACACATTAATTATGTAATATATGGACATAATGAATGAATTGAAGCTAATTAAAATAATAAATAAAAGTGAGATAAAGGCAACAACATGAATCAAGTAGAATACTAACTAACAAACATTTATCAATCTATCGTCCAAAAGAAAAATCGACTATTGTGATCGATTTCATATCTGTCTCACTCATATGTAACGTACAGATCATATTGGCACTATGTGTGAGTTATTTAATAGACTTGTTTCTGTTTTTGACATTATTCCAATAAATTGCTTACTGAGAAGAAATTGAAAAAACACAAAATATGGGGAAATTTTGTGTTGAGGTACTGTTGATTAGGCTTGCTGTTGTGCATGTAACACTGTTTGCTTGTTTTGTCAAATGATTTGATATTTTTACCTTTGCAGCAAGGCAACCTTATTCGTTTCCTACCATACGTTATTTTGCCTAGTTTTCTTTCTTTTTTTAATTTTCTTACTACATACTTTATCACGAACAAGCCTACACAAGATGTGCACAGAAAATTGCATACCGCGATATGTGTGCACAAAATGATATGCTTCAGCGATTTGTGGAATGTGAGCCTTCCGTACGAAATAAAAAAAAACACACACACCTGAAAAGATATCGCAAAGCAAAAGGAAGTAGAAAAATTAAACTAGCTTTTACTTTGAAATCCGTAATATGTTATACTGCTATATATATAAATAAAAAATCTTTAAAAAAATCAATAGTTATTCTTATATACAGTTGATATCGAGTTTGGTGTGGGTCTCGGTGTCGGTGTACGTGTCGGTGTGGGTGTGGGAGCTGACCACCTCTTAATCCACACCTACCCACACTCCACACCCACAC